GATAGGATAAGTGTATTTTTTTATTATTTAATTAACCTGAGTTTACAGTTTTTGTATTACGTTTATTCGTTTTGGCCATTTAACTGTATGCTATTTATTTTGCTAGACTAATTTTATGTTTGATTAATAATATGTTATGTACATTTAATTAAACTGTTTAATTTTTTTTAAATTTTTTTTTCCCATCTGATTTTGTGATCAATATTTTAGTTTATGGTTTTTTGAAATTTTATCCATTAATTTAAAAATGCATATTATTCTATTTATGTTAATTGTATTATTTTTAAATGAGTTATGCTTCAGAAGCATTTCTTATTATGCCACGGGTATGGTAATTTTTATTTCATTTAAATATTCCAAAAATTCAAAAGTCATAATATCATTTTTATTATTTCAGTAATAATACTTATATTTTAAAAATAATCATAGTTTAAAGCTAACCCAATTTTAGGATGTTTTGACCTTCGTATATTTTCAATTTTATCTTAATATTTTTTATCCTAAATCCAAATTTAATTTAATTTAAAGTTTGTCTTTTGTTTAATGTTGAATTTTTATTTTTGTTTTACCATAGCTGTACGCCCCCCCTTCCCCCCGACTTAACAATTTCACATGAATATTCTCGCTGATATTGGTACAGGTGTTACACAAAAAAATTAATAATTAAATTTTATTTTAGAATTTATTATTTTACAATATTTTAATTTATAATATGTTCATGGAACTATTTATGTACAATATGTAATAATATGTAAACTCTAAAAAACCCAAAAGCCACAAAGAGCAATGTATAAAATTATATTATACAATAAATAGTACCTAGAGTGAAAAGTATGTAAACCATTTTCTAAATTCTTGTCCAGCCGGCCCAGCCTTACTGTTCTTTCGTAGAAGGAAGGTATACCAAATGGTTGAATGAGGTAAAAGTCTTATAATAATATTAGATTCCTAGCTGAACTGCTTAAACTATATGTTATAAATTCTTATATTATTTGAACTAATCAATACATCAAAATAGAAAATGTGTGCCATACATTTATATTCTACATTTATATACCTACAAATATTTACATAGAACATTAAAAAGTTTATTAGAATGGTTCACTAATTATTTGGAAACATTGTTAAACTTTAAAACTTATACATATATATTTTATGTTGTTTATGTTTATAATAATATGTATTATTTAATATTATATTTTTCATACCTGTTAAATTATTATGAAGTAAACGATATGTATTTCTTTATTCTTTTTAAAATGCCTAAAGTGCTTAATAAATTGTACAGTAGTAATAGTAAAGCTAATAGCCCTGAACAATTATATTTTGATGGGTTGATTATAAATTAGAAATAAAAATTAATAGTGTTTTAATTATACCTAAATGTTTATGAAAATAGAAATCAATATTATAATTTTTACAAATTAGATCATTTTTTTAAGACGTGAAAGTAGAATTGGGTTATAAATCTACAAAATAAGAAATTTACACCTTCTATATAAAAGTATATAATATAGTTAACATTTTAAACCAATGATTATTTTCTAAGGATACCCAAATGATTTATATAAATAAGCCTCAGTAAGCAGTAGATTTCTATTCAGTATTTTCAATTTGTATTATAGAGGTTAAATAAATTTAACACTAGTAGATCACAATAATTTTTAGACACAATAACTTTCATCCGTGGTTAATAGAAGAGACTACTGAAAATAGTAAATTTTAGACAAATTATTAGATTGATGTTAAGTTTAATAATTATTTGTCATAGGTATTGCTATTCAATGTCGACTAATTTTTAAGTTAATTATTGAGACGTTAAAAAAAACAATTGAGTCTTCGATCGACAATGAAACAACATAAATAATACGTACGTGTGTTTTGAGGTATTATATTAATATGTATGATGTAAATTATTAACTACTATAGATAAGTAAAATTACAATATTAATCAAACACAGGTACAATTAAATGTACAAATATTGTTAATGAATAATAGTATGATTGGTAAAAAAAATTAGTGGGTAATTATATAAATATTATAAATATACAATAGATAAACTACAATAGTATGCATCTACCAACTACTTAATGTCTTAACGTACCTATGAATGCTTATAAGAAGAGCCTGAAAGTTCATGCATTGGCATGTTTTTACTGAGTTTATCAAAAAGTTGCTGGATAAGCTACCTAAAAATTTGAATCACAACCTATCGAGTTCATAAATGAAATTTTATTTTGCATATTTTTGCATCTTTTGATTTTTTTTATAATTACCTATGCATATTTTAAAATAAAATTGCATTTTATTGCATTTTGTTTTGGTTATTTTTTTTTTATTTATTAATATTTTAGACTGAGTATATTTCAGAATATATATCTCGAAAAATATGTCTTTATAAATACTTTGCCAATATTCAATAAAAACCTGTCTGATAGGCGATAAGTCGGTTATAATTCTGCCTATATTTAATGGTTATATTCTCAAATAGTCCAATTGGAACATGTTATCGAGAAAAACGAGCGATTTGAGACACTGTAAACAAAAGTCATGTCAGGAGAAGAAACAACCATAGAAAATCTTCAAGTTAATGACTTCATACATTACAAGTATGCGCCAATGTATTCTGTTGATATAGAACGGAGCTTTAATCTTTACAAAAATACGTTGGCTGATAATCGTAGTTCATATTTTGTATTTGAAAACCTGTCAAAACCCCTAGTTGTAAATTGTAATTCTTGAAATAAATACAACATAATATACCATATTAAATCAACTGTTCATATTTTTCCCCATCGTTTAATTATTATTTTCAACAAAAACGAAAAAATGTATTGTAAAAAAAAAATGCATATTTAGCTCATATTTTAATGATTTTAAGGGCATATTTTGAGAGTTTTTAGTGCATGAACTTCCGGGCCCTACTTATAAATATTAGGTACTGTTTATGAAATATATATTTGAGTGAAATCGTTCAAGAATCATCATCAAAGGTTTTTATTAATTAGACAACAAATGAAACAAATTAACTATGTATTATATAAACAAATAATAAAAGAAAATTGGCATCCACAATAACAGGCATACATTTTATACCAGACCAAAATGTATAATACTGTATAGTAAATAGTAATATATTAAAATGTGTTTTCAAAATTATGATATGATAAGAATATAAGATACTAGGTTGTAACTTATTAGTGATGACGGATTCAAATGTTTATATGGTTAGTATTAAGAGCCTAGCAATCTAGTTTATTATCTTTATCTGAGTAATATTATGCTATTTTTATTTTATATAATATGTACTATTATACTAGAGAGCCTTGATAAATGATAATATTAACAAGGATCCATGAATTGTACAAGTGCAGTACACTCGAACCTCCTGCTTATCGAAAATTATCCATAAACGCGGTTTCTCGATCACCGGGGTTAAAGTGTTAGCTTTGTTAATAATTGAGTGGTAAGGAGGGAGGTAGGTAAACGACACCAGCTTGTGTAAACAATTGTTGGAAAAATATTTGCTTATCCCAAGGACTAATTATATTATCAGGTGTCAGTAAAAACATTCATAAGAAATTAAAAATTGTAAAACGTCTAGACGATATTCAAAAGTTTATTATTACAATAATTCATGCACATAAAAAGTTTTTTAGAGGACGCCACACCCGTATGTGTGGTCTCCGTTTTACAAGTGCTTAACATAGATATCAAATATAAGCTTAGCAGATCAAGTTTAATTCCGTTAGTCTAAAAATTAGAGTGAAATGATCTATTATGAAACTTGATGGTAAGAACATAATCTGTGTTTCTATGTCAATTTTTTAGCATTTTAACCTTAATTGATATGATTCAGCGTAAAGTAAAAAATGGCCATAACTTCCATAAAAAATGAAATATCGTAAAAAACCAACATTGGGTCACAGATAACATTACCATCAAGTTTCATTAATAGGTCGGTTCACTCTAGTTTTTAAGGTAACGAAATTAAACGTGATTTACTGAGCTTACATTTTCTATGCTACGCTTTTATAAGACGGAGATGACACGTCATGTGGGTGTGGCATTCTCTTAAATCGAAAAATCTCTGAATGTATTATTCTTTATTAAATTTAAATAAACAATAATTTAATGTTTCGAATTTTAGAAACTGTATCGTTATTTTCTAAGTCCCGGTAGGTACCTACTGAATATTTCGCTAAAAACTGCAATTAATTTTTAATAAAAACGAGATAGAACGATGTCGAGAAGTCTATATCGAGTGCTTTGATAAAAAGACCCAAAAATATTAGCTGGCTTAATATCTAAACTTGTCTCGTTATATTATACTAGTGGTTTCTTGTGATTAGTAATAAAAAAGTTCAATTCTAAGCCATTTTATTAATACAATTGTTAATATAGACACTTTATGTCTATACGTGTCAACATATACAGATATAACCATTATTTTTGAACCATAGAGGTATAATTTAATTCTGTTAATTGTTTGTACGTTTCGAAAAAAATAACTGATGGGACGATATTCAATTATCTTTAAATTTAAATGAAGTTGGTTTCGGCATTAATGGGGATTAATAATATTATTGTTATTATTTTTTGATTGTGGTTATCGTACGAAATACGTTGATTAATCGATATGACTAACAAATTAGATATAAATGTAGGTACCTACTTTAAAAATATATATTTCGTGGTCTCAGATTTGTCGAAAACTTATTTCAGGGCAGTACTCATATATAAGTGAACTTTCTATAATTTTTTTTTTACCTATTTGACGTGGCCGTAACTGAATCATGTTTATAATAAACATTACTGTATACAAGTGTCTCGACATGTTGATTCAACGTGTCAAAAAAATGAAAACGTTTCGGAGCGTTTCTCGTTACTCGTCCACTCGATAAGATAATATTAATTATATATCGCATGGTTACATATTATGTATAGGTGTTTGCGTTTAGATTACTCAAATTTTGTCGTCGATTTTCGGTACTCTAGTCATTAGTTAGATGTGAGAATTCGACAATATGCGACCTCTATCAATTATTGCGTTTTTCGTTGTGTTTGCACACGTCCGGGGTTACGATGACAAACCGACGGTAGATTTCGGACGGTTGCCCGACGACACCGAACCGGAATGGTACGCGCTGAGCTTGGTGCCGGACTTTGATACGGTAAACCCTTCGTTCGCCGGCCGAGTGGATATCTCGATCGTAGTGAAAACCACCACGGACGAGATCACGTTTAACTCCAAGGACTTGGTGTTGCACGAAATCACGATGACAGACGATAACACCAACGGCGATGTTAGGGTCGACTCCTGGAAGTACGTGGAAGAACTGGAACAAGTCAAAGTCAAGATAGACGGACATATTTTGGCAAAACAAAAATACACAATACATATTGATTACAGTGGTTATTTGAACGACGATGCGTCCAATATTTTCCACACCTCTTACGATGCCTACCCACGTGTAAAAAAGTAGGTTTGCATGTTTATTGCTTTTCGTTGCACATCGGTATATCGAAAAAACGAGACTATACACACTCGATTTCGATTAAATAAAATGTATATTTAAACAACAACTAACTGTATTATATTTCATCTAATGGTTCAAACTTTTTCTATAATTATTTTTAGATTGTCAATACTGTATTATTGTTATATATATATATATGTATATATATTTACAGATGGGTGGCTGCTAACAATCAATTACAAACCAAACACGCAAGAAGTGCTTTTCCTTGTTATGATGAACCACATTTTAAAACACCATTTAACGTATCAATACAAATTAAAAGGAACGAAATCACTTTGTCAAACATGCCAATTTTGAACACAGTTGACATGTAAGAATTGCAATCGATTGATTATTTTTAAAACTATAAATTGGAAATGCAACTTAAAAAGCTATATTTTTTATTTCAAATTAATATTAATTAATTGAATTAAAAACAAATTGGTAAATTCTAACGAGTACACCGAAAATATGATGCGATTTCTGTTTTTTTTTTTTTTTTTGGCACTGAAATAATAAAACCATTGAAGATTATAAAGTTCGAATATAGTGCTAAAAATATTGAACATTTTTCAATTAATTGTTATAAAAATTCCAAAAATAAATTGTCTGAACCATGAAACACTATGTTAAATTGTAGTGATCTTTATGTTCGTCTTTTTTATTCTCTAAAATCAAACTAACATATTAGAGAAATATGATTTATTTTTTTGTTTTTAGTACTATTATGACTTACCTAACTGCCTATTATATTTTAGAAAATTTAACTGACAAGTGATAGGAAGTATATGAGCTAGTCTGAGGGTCTAGTCCTTTTATCTGTACTAAATTCACCAGTCTCACCGTTTATTTTGTAAGATAATTTATACTTATTAAAATAATTCAATTTGTGTTGATTTTAGATATGAGCCCGTTGCAAAAGATTCAACCAAATACACATACAAGACCTGGGTTAATTTTATTCAAACTCCACCAATTTCAACATTTATGGTTACCATTTTCGTTGGTGAACACAAGCGACATGACAAATTCCGTCAAAGCTTAAGTCTAGGGGATGGCTTATATCTGGAAAAATACATGATGAAACGGGCTCTTGATCCACTAAACGCAATAAATAATAACAAAAACGAAGGACAAACTACCACCATTGTTACTACAGAAACTTCACCAATGTCTGAGAGTACAGTGACTGAAACATCTGAACCCACTTCCACCATTGTTACTACAGAAACTTCACCAATGTCTGAGAGTACAGTGACTGAAACATCTGAACCCACTTCCACCATTGTTACTACAGAAACTTCACCAATGTCTGAGAGTACAGTGACTGAAACATCTGAACCCACTTCCACCATTGTTACTACAGAAACTTCACCAATGTCTGAGAGTACAGTGACTGAAACATCTGAACCCACTTCCACCATTGTTACTACAGAAACTTCACCAATGTCTGAGAGTACAGTGACTGAAACATCTGAACCCACTTCCACCATTGTTACTACAGAAACTTCACCAATGTCTGAGAGTACAGTGACTGAAACATCTGAACCCACTTCCACCATTGTTACTACAGAAACTTCACCAATGTCTGAGAGTACAGTGACTGAAACATCTGAACCCACTTCCACCATTGTTACTACAGAAACTTCACCAATGTCTGAGAGTACAGTGACTGAAACATCTGAACCCACTTCCACCATTGTTACTACAGAAACTTCACCAATGTCTGAGAGTACAGTGACTGAAACATCTGAACCCACTTCCACCATTGTTACTACAGAAACTTCAAAAATGTATCATAGTACAGCTACCGATAAAATGAAATCGACATTGATTTTTGGTGAGAACATTAAACCGTTTTATGAGCGCCCGTATTTTATATTTAATTTTATTTTCACAAGTGTATTAATACTTGTTGCGCTTTTAATGGGCATAGTATTTTTCTGGAATAAGCTCATTAAAACAAAATGTTTTCAAAATAATGATGTAAATATTTTTTTGTAAAATATTAAAATATATTTAGTTAGTTTTGATTTTCTGTAATTTAGTGATTTTTTGTTAATTTTATTTTGATAAGTTTTAATTTATTTAATATATATTTACAATATTTTTCTTGTCAATGATTTTGATTTATAAAAAAATATATAATTTTTTTACTAAAACTTGTTCTGTATACCTAATTGAATGAGTAATTAATATTTGAAAATGTGTTCATATTGTTGAAACAAATTTAATAAAATACATTTCAAAATGTCTTTTTTTCAAATAGTTCTTTAAATTTTGACTAACACCAATCCATTATACCAAAAGTTGATGAACCTATCCAATATTTAATATTCAGGACATAATAATGTTCATAAGATAATAAAGATTTTTTTTTTTTTGAAAAAATAATACAAGTTTCTTGATTACCTACTATGCGTGTAATATAATCAATTATCTTATTAATCGTTCATTATGGTTCGACTTTCGACCATTAGTGAAACGATTAATGTTTGATTTAAAACCATCCCAAATATAAACAATCGTATTAATTGTAACTACCTTCTACATTTATATTATATTATTATTCATAAATTATTTTTACTTACAGTTTTTATTGAAAATCAGTTGACTTTATAATAATCTTAAGAACAAAATTAGCATCACTATACAAAAGACACTCATCATATTATATTAATCATTATTTCATGATGACATTGTGCAACAAAAATAATAAAGATAATCTATTTTGACACCCAAAATCATTAACATATATTTTAAATAATATAGGTATAGTATTTAAACTCGTTAGTTCTAGATTATAGGTAGGTAGTTCACATTTTTAATTAATTATGATGTGTCATAGAATTTTACATTTTTATCTTCTCACATTTTTTCGTAGTATCAATAACAATCTTAATATTAAAACCATGAAACTTTCAGTAAGCACTTTTCACTAAACTTAGTAACCCGCCGTTATATATAATAATATATTACAAATTCTTGTTTATTCTAAAAAATAAATTGTAGCCACTTATGTTTGAAAGTTTGAAATTTGTACCTTGAAAACTATAATTTAAAACTTTATAAATGTCATAAACCAGAATAAGAATCTTTAAAATTTCAAACAAATACTAAATAAAATATTTTACATTTTACTTTATTCAATATAAATTAAAATACGAATTATAATAAATATTAGCTATATTAGAGTAATTAATAATAAATAGTAATTATAATTAAATTTTAACCTAAGTACATATAGGTGATAGCAATATTGACTTGAGGGATTAACTTAAGCAATTGTGTGCTGTGGAACTGCGATTCGGCGGTTAGTCATCAAATTAGTATATCTTATATTATTTATTTTATTTTTCGGTTCAATCCATAGATTAAACTCATATTTTTTTTTAATAATTTATCACACATTTATACTCCAGTTAATAGTAAATTATAAGAAAAAAATATATCGGTCAAGTTATAAATGTATGTATCATGTTCTCGTATATTATATGTACCTATAAGTAATAAGTTTAACAGTTATACCATATTGTACCTATATATTCATAGTTAATATACAAATTTACAAGTTTTAAATATTAATGAAATTTATTAATATTAGTATTAATATTCAACATTCGTGTCAAAACTTTGATTTTGGTAAGGGGTTTTTGGTTCATTAAGTAAATGCATGGGTCTATTTTTGATCTCGTTGTAACTTTTATCGATACATACAATTTTTAGAGCATTAATCAAAATTAAATACATACTATAATTTCAAGAACATTTTATTAAACTATTAATAGTTTCAACCAAACATACAATTAATCACTTTATTAGAACTAAATGGGTCACTTTTATTTAAACATTGTCCAACAATAACCAGTCATCGGGTTGTTGTTCTATTCCAACAGAGCCTATATTATGATAACAACTCAAAATATCGTAGATTTATTTGAATAATATATTTCGATGATTTCGAGTTAATTATTTCTGTGATAGCAGTTTGAATAGTTTAAATAGTAATATCTTATAAACTGTTGTTGTTTTATTACATATTAAATATTCAAATCGCACAAAGAGTGGAATAATATAATATATATATATTAAGCAGAAATATTCAGAGCAAATATATTTGAATCATGCTACTAAGAAATATTTTTTATTAGTCATTCGGCAATTAAGATTATATTTTGTTAAATTGAGGCAATTGACGTGGTACCTAGAAAAATATGACAGAAAGAATACAATAGGAGGTATGTATTTGCACCGATTTATTTCCTTAAGTTACTCGTATATTATGAACATTTTAAAAGGCGTCATAAATAGTATTTTTATGATGATATTATCACCATTCGATAAGTCAAGACAAATATTTGGAGTCGACTAAAATTATAAATTCCCTCAACTACAGTAAAAATTGACCCTTCATATGGAATAAAATAATATTCTACAATTTATGTAGTGTTACAAAATTTAAAAATATTGTAGGTGAAATATTTTACGTTTGAATAATTCTTTGTACAATGTGTAATGTACCTATTAACATTTGCAAATATTTATAATTTTATTTTTCTCATTCCCGCTACGTGAGTTATTTTATATTTTATTTGGTGGAGTAATAATTATTCGTGTTCATTATGATATTTACCATTGTACCATCACTAAAACAATTCATTAATAATAGTGTATGTTGTGTGCATACTAGAATAATTAATACAGTAAGCCAATAATTAATTATTTTATGATTGTTGATCATAACTTAGGAATACGTAGTGTAATACCTTTAATTTACAAGTGCTACACGTCATGCACAATGTTACACAATTATTATCGATTGAAGATACAGTTAAAAAATAAATCATAACATGGACACTGTGATGGTTATAGGAACTAGAAAGTTAAAACCTGAATATGTACTCGTACATAAGAACCTAAAAAAAATGTATTCAAAATTCCAAAAAAATTAAGAGGTGTCAAATATAAGTTGCATAATATTAGTGCCTACATAAAATATTATTAAAAAAAAAAAAACTGGTAATAGGTACTAATACAATATTTTGAACAACTAGATGGAGGACAAATACAATACGTCATTATAATATTATATTATATTACAATACGTCAACTGTGGTATAAAAAAATGGCACTATCAAAAAGTTTTGTTAGGTATAGTGGAAATATGGAATGTTTGCAACTTTCAAGTCTGAAAAATCATTTGAATAATTGCATGGCTTAAAGTTGTGAAAAAATCCAGTAGGGGCTAATCATTATATACATATATTTTTACTTTTAAGCACTTCATATATCATGTATATATAATACATGAATTGTATGTATAATGCCTAGAGTATATGTAATGTATAAACAGTGATACAATTACAATGAGTATAGCTAAAAAATCACTGTTTGTACATTACATAGTTTAAGTATACGCATCCCACTTTAAAACTGACTAGTGTTCAAATTTGTTATTTATTTCATGTAAAATTTAAATCACAAGTAATCTCTACTACATTTTTAAAGAGGCCGTGGTAAATGGGACACTTTTTAACCATCATTAGAGGTAGGGAGACTGAGTCAGAGACCGTGCTCGAAATACACAAATGATAATAGAAGAAATAAGTAATATTAAATGTTGATAAAATTATATAAAAATTAAAAATTTTTTTTTTCTAAAATGTATGATTTTTACAAAAGTATGTAATATTAAATGTTCGTTTACAAACTCGTAATCATATAGCTCAGTCTACAGCTATAAATGAGAGCATATAAAAACATTTAACTCCTACAATTTTCCGTTCTAGTGATGATTATTTAATTGAAAACATTCGTACAAACAATATAAGTATAGATACGGTATGGAAATATTTACATAATATTACAGGCGTATTTTAGTTGATTTGTGTGACGTAATCGCAGTCACAACACCAGCACATTATAAACTTAACTTGTAAAGCTTAACGACACAAGGTCACCGAATTTAAACGTTTATCATAAGTTTACTACAAACGTTAACCACGTGTGGAAATACCCATACAGTATACAACGTATTATGTAAATACTAAATAGGTACCTAAGAGGTGATCATCAAATACGTAGGTAGAGTAAAAACAAAAAAAAACCCATTCACGGGGTCGTAATTTCTATCATAACGTACTTGTTATTTTCAAGATCACAGTATACCAATCATTTTATATTTATTAGGTTCGATATTGTAATGACGAATGGTATATTTCGCTTGAAGTGTCCAAACATGTCGATAGATCGTGACGCAAATACGAAAACTCCTTCGCACGTTACAATAGATAAGATTGTAGTGAAATTATTGTTCTAGTGATATTTAGTACATTACTTGTACAGTCGTATAATCTGCATTGCGACGTGCTGGCAAATTGTCTTTTTTGCTGTATAGCGCTGCAGTTACCAATATTTATCCAAACACCGTGGTTGTTCACTGCACACAATGCTGTGGGCGACGGTGGTTTCTATCGTAATCGTCTGCCTTGTCACGGGTTACGATGCCCAGACCTCGGATTCCATGCGGTTGCCGGGTAACACCGAACCGCGGTCGTACGTGCTTAGGGTAGAACCGAACCTGGAAACAGAAAACGCCACGTTCTCTGGCAGTGTGGATATCACGATCGAAGTGATGACCACCACTTCTACGATCACGTTGAACTCTAAGGACTTAGTGCTGCACGAAATCAAGGTGACGGACGAAAACACCGACAGGGACATCGGTGTAAGCTTTTGGAGTTACGCGGAAGACCGAGAACAGGTGGTGATATCGATGGACGGACACGTATTGGCCAACAGAAGATACACGATTCGCATACGTTTTGAAGGAATTCTCAGGGACGACGGTACGGGTTTTTTTAAAAGCGGTTATGAAACCGAAGAGCATGGAAAAAAGTAAGCACAATATTTTGTTGTGTACAAATCATATTAAGTTGCTGTTTTGAGCTAATGTATACAATACATTCGGGTATCACATATTAATGTATAAAATACAGAATTTAAATTATTTTTAAGCTAGGTACCTACCTATATCCAATAAACAGTGCTCAATTCCAAGCATATTAATACATTTTATAATTACTTTAACCCCAATATTTGTCCACTAATTTTCTACATTATTTGTTTTAACGTAGAGGGTTTTAAATTAAATAGTACTATAAAGATATGTATTTATAATTTACTTAAGCGTATATTTCACTAAAAAAAGTTTATAATGATCAGATAGGAACAATATATTATTATAAAATAGATATGCAGGAACTATTATTAAGTATAATTTTTAACTTAAAATGGTTATGGATATTACCCACTTGAATAGGTATTATTAATATTTCAATAAACTATATCGACTAATATTTAAAAAAAAAACTTTAGAACAATTAAATAAGTAAATAAAGATTAAATAGCTTAGTCAATAATGCAATATTATAAGCAACAAATTTATGTAATTCAATTTAAAAAAAATTTAAACATCTTTAATTAATAACTTTCTTCTAAAAATAATTTAAACATATTATATCTATATATATTTAGTAGGTACAGTATAACAAATTATAATAATAATAGTTGCTATTTAATTTAATCATTTTTTTTTACAGGTGGATAGCTGCTACTCAATTTCAAACCATACAGGCCAGAAGTACTTTCCCCTGTTACGATGAACCAAATTTTAGAACACCTTTCAATATATCAATAAAAGTTAAAGAAAATGAAATTGCTCTATCAAATATGCCAGTTTTAAATACCATTTACGTGTAAGTAGAGATAGAATATCCGGTATTTTTTTTGTATAGAATACCGTAGTATAATACTGTTGAACTTGATTTAAATTATTGGAACCTGAACACAAGTTATAAAACCCATGAGCATTTTTAAAATTGCATAATAATTTCTGAAAACTTTTCAAAAACCACAATGATTTATTAATTATTTTGAGTAAATTAATATTTTAAGTCATGCTACTGCCTATTAATCCTGATATACCTAGTGACGCTCACGTCGCAGAGATACAGTTTATGATTTAATGATTGTATGATAATAATTGAGTTATTACCACTACCTTGAGGTTTGATTAAAATATTAGGTACCTAGGAATGATATTTGTGTTGCTGTTAAACTTTGAACTCATTTTAGCATGCTATAATATTGTATTGATGTGAACATATGTGTTGATTGGCCTTGTGAAAACAAACTTTTAAACCATACATATTATATTGCAGAGACGAAGTGCTCGCCAATGGTTCGGTCGAATACCATAGCAAGAAATGGGTTCACTTTGAGCAGACACCGAGCATGTCCACGTGTTCTGTCACGTTTTTCGCCGGTGAATTTGAACAATTCGACAAAACCCGCCTGAGCCCGATCAACGTGTACTCTCACTTGGGCCGTTTGTATCAAATCGAGTACATGACGAAAGCAGTGCCTGACATTTTGAGGGCCATGGAAAATTACACGGGCATACCATACTCTATGCCCGAACTGAACTTATTGGCCATGCCGATACTAGGCTCAAGACAAGTCGAAAATAGTTGGGGATTAACCACTTACCGGTAAGGCACACGAGGACGCGATTCATTCTATAGGGTTAGCAGATCAAAAAGTTTAAATCAAATTTCGACCACTTCCATGACGTGAACATCGCTTTTAATTCCAATTCAAGTAATCTAAGACTTGATACCACCCATTTTAAAATTATATTTATCTTTTTTTCATGCCATTATGCGGTATACCAAATAAATTAATAGCATATTTGTGGGTAATTTAGATTTTAAAAAATCCCTCGGTCATATTAGAAAAAAATTATTTGATTTTTGAACTATACGAATGGATTTATTATCTTTTGAAATGTTGTATCAACGTATCGTGATCACCTTATTTGTTCATACCATAGAGGGTGACTTCAATGCCTCTACAGATGATTTAATCAATTAATTGTATAGTTGAATACTAACTTCCGACCCGTTTAAACTTGTATTTTTTAATATTGCGATTCGTTTACACTTTGTGGAACCGCTCAGTTTCGTCAAACGGATAATAAGGTTGTCTTCAGAACACGACTTCATTTTTACTAAAATAATAACATCATACAATGGCATGTTTGGCAGAGAGAAAACGCTTTTTGTCGACATGAAAACGAGCTCCAAGGCAATTATGTCAGCGAAGACAGCGGTGGGACACGCCGTGGCGAACCAGTGGTTTGGCAATTTAGTGACGCCTGCCCAATGGGACTTTGCGTGGCTCAACAAAGGGCTTGCGACATATTTGGAATACTTTGTTACCGCAACGGTAATGTCTATGCTATAATTATTATAATAATATCGGTGGTCATTACGATAAATTATTAGGTTGGAATTACCTCAATCGCGTGTGTGTGTGCATTACGTATTAATAAATATTTTAAATCTTCCTATTACGTGTGTGCGATTGTGTGTGCATTGATACAGGTGGAACCGGAATGGCGACTTGAGCACTTTTTCATCGTCGAACAGCAACGGCCGGCCCTGGATCACGACAAAAATCAAAAACGGCCTTTGACCACGCCAGCAATCATGCCAGGAGATGTGGATTATTACACGGCCGACAGAAAGTCAGGACAGAAGGCCGCGGCGATCATGATGATGCTCAAGGATTGGGTGGGTGAAGAAGCGTTCAAAAAAGCCATTACTATGTACTTGACTCACAATCAGTAAGTATATATTTCCCGGACATTATAATCTTTTTACCCGTAACGATGTACGAAGAGAACTAATCTAATAAGCGGAGGTGGCACCCGGTATAATACCATATTATAGGTATAGCGCGGTGAACCCGGAAAAACTGTGGAACGCGTTCGACAATGCGCTTTTCAATCTGACAAAGTCCGGATTGAACAGCAACAACGTTCGCACTGTGATGAACACGTGGACAGAACAAGCCGGATATCCCTTAGTGAACGTCATGAAAAAAGACAAATCACTCGTGTTAACTCAAGTAAGAACTAATACCCATTACCCAACAATCACAACTAGTAATTTTTTTTTTTTTTTTTGGTTCAGCAACGCTTTTTATCTGATTTTACCGAGTCAAATGACACATCCAAGTGGTTTATTCGTTTGAGTTACACAACGAATAAAGAAAAAAATTTCGACACCAAGTCCGCACCGACTGTTTGGCTGAATCCGTCCGTAAACGAAACGGTTATCCCAATCGACGATGACGTCGAATGGTACATATTCAATATACAATCAACAGGTTGAATACTTTTTTTCGCAAATGTTTACCTATACCTAGTTAATAATTGTCATACTACTTTCATTTCAACTGCGGGGATCAAGCTATTGGTCATATTATTATGATATTGCAATAAATTTAGTTATTTGTTTGTGTCGTTAGGTTTCTACAGGGTAAACTACACGGAAGACAATTGGTTGTCGTTGATCAAACAGCTCAACGATTCACCTAAAGAAGTACACGTTCTCAACAGAGCTCAGTTGATTGACGATTCGTTCAGTTTAGCAAAAGCGGGTCTGCTGAATTACAGGATACCAATGGGCTTCACAGAGTATTTGAAAAAGGAAGATGACATAATACCGTGGTTCTCGGCCATGGATAGTTTAAACTATGTTTTAAACCGTATGAGACGTTTCAGATATGCGCTGATCGATGTCAAGGTGGGCATCACCTTGAAATAACTTTTACTCGAATTCTTCTATTACATAATACTATTATAATAATATACAATCCCGGAATCGTCACTGTTAATTATTATGATGGTTAGCGAGGAACATAGATAGTCACTAGCCAGAAAGAAACTTTGTATGTATTATTATAGATAATCAAGTTTCTGAAATTAGTATTTTTCACTTGTCGTGTATTCTATATGATGAGCATAAGGTATAGTAAACGTGTAATAAATGCACGACAAGATTGTTTAGTAGAAATTTCTGATTTAATTTTGAATAGTTATCTTAAATGAATAAGTTCAGTGCTGCTTATTTACTATTGATGATCTCTATGAACTCTCTTTTATATGATATATATTATTACGTCTATACGAGTATTGGACGTTAGGTAAACTATGACGATAAAAGTGACTTGATCAGTTTTTATATTTTATATTTTTATTTTTCGATAGCATAAACCATTATGACTTGCAATAATGAATATTCAACTTTAAAAAAAATTCGTATTTCATTTTGTAGCTTATTCGTTACAGAATGAAATGACAATATTGTGACACACTATGAATACATTTTAAAACAACAATTTGTAGCATACACATAATTAACATGTGTGTAACAATTAAAGGAATAACATTAATAATGCAAATTTAAGAGCACACCTATCCACGTTCATCGTTAAACATTCTTGACATTCTTGCAATAAATTATTTTAGTCCCGCAACACTATACGAATGCCAAATCATAAAATCGTATAAATATAACGCAAAAAGTAAAAGCATCATTCACTTGTATAAGTTTGCACTTTGTAGCATATATCATTATATGATGCAATTTTCACGAATCGTATTAAATCACATTCGTGTTAACGCAGGCCTATGTCTCTAATCTGGCCAGCATTGCATTCGAAATGATAAACGAACTCGTCGCTGGACAAAAGAGTCCACAGTACCCCACCAATATCGGCTGGAACACGTTGTCAACGTGGGCGTGTAAATTGGACGAGTATATTATGTATCGGACGACCACGGCGGTTCCGGAATACTTTCGGAGATGGAAAAACGGCGAAGAGTAAATCCTATAGCTTATATAATTAATTATAATATTGTATTATCAGCGTAGTCGTGCATTATAAAAAAGGTAAAAATAATAATTATGTGCTCTCACGCGTGTGTGTTTTTTTATCGTTATGTAGAATACCAGCTGATATTAAGGATGCGGCGTTTTGTATCGGAGCTCGACAATACCAAGTCTCAGGAAGTCTGGACAAATTTTTACACTTGTACAATACCACCAAAACGTATTCGGAAAGAGCGTCGGTGATGAACGCGCTGCCTTGTGCTGACATACAGACACTTTTGACGTGAGAACCACTTTTTTCTATTCGATCGTACATAGTTTTAAATTTTTAACGATTAACAAATCATTCGAAAATTATTGAAGTAACTCTAAAGATAGGTATAGTAAAAATCTAGTTCAAATATTGTACACAATTTTAATTGCTCATAACAACAATTATTTTACGCCAACCTTAAATTAAATTTGGATTTGCATAGCCATATTTCATAATAATAATTGTAGGTATACAAAAATAGATGAAGTGTAACTAAAAACAAAAAAATGTTTGAGTTACAAGTAACCAAATGTTCTGGTAGTAGTACGAGTCAAAATATGATAGGCATTATTTGGAACGAACGATCCGATACGGGAGCTTTCGATGATGAAAATATAACGAGTGATAAATTAATTAGGATTCAAAATACTAAATAGTACATTTAAATGTTATAGGTATTTGACATTAATAATGGAGGACAAATGCCCAATTGAACCAAGTGATTACGAGGACTTCTTCAATGCACTGTCTTCGACGTCCAATGGTATAACTGCTATGAATTATTTTCTTAGCAAATATTTCACAGACATCGTCAAAAACGTAAAAGATGGTAGACATATAGCTACGACTATGTTCTCAATCTTAGCTTCAAAGGTTTCCACCGAAAGTGAAATCGAAAATGTAAAGATATTTTTTTTATATATAGTTATAATGAAATAACTCTAGTTATAACGATTGATAGTATAAAAGTCCATTCATGGTTATACCTACATCGCTACATTATATAGGTTATACTATATAGTGCATTTAATAGCTAGCTCAATATGCACTGAACACTTATATAATATTGTATATAGGTATATTATTCTAATAACGTTGTTTTTCTATAATTCCTGGTACCTATTAGAATAATTTATCGTATCTTCCCTTGACAGTTTAAATTAAAGTCCAATATTTAAATAAATTCGTATTTGTAATGTGCCATTCACAAACGTATAAAGACATTCACGGACTTCATGCTATATGCATGGACCATTCTTTGCACAATATCTGTATTAGCTTCAAACAGTGGTGATTTGTTTTTGCTTTTTAATTAACGATCAGTAAAATAAGTTACATTATAAGTCTACACAGTTTTATAAACGCAATTATAAGTTCGTGACATTATCAAGAATAAATGTTCGGTTTTAGATTATGGATATGACGTTTAGAAGCAATACTCCAGTTGAATATAGAGATACACTTGTCCCGGTTTATCGGAGCGAAATCGAGGACAACGAAAAATGGAATGACAATGGTAGCCCAGAAGCGATTTGGGAGTACATAAATCCTCTGACGAAAGGATCGCCACTGGATCCATCTCAGCAGTATACGACTCCACGAAGCGCGTCGGAAGACGATTCTAGTGCTTCATCGAGATCACATGACTATGCCATTATTTTGCAGATTTTAGCACTGTCTGTGTCGGTTAAACTGCTTGTAAATATAATCTAAATATCTCTTAATATGTTTATAACAATATACGATTTTTTTAAAGAGAAATATTTCACACATTTTCGTGAATTAAATAGAATGTTCAAATCGTAGCGTGCATTTTTGATTTTTTAATTATACTATATGCGATCACGTTTTCGGGATTGAACAATTGTTTAGCAATTAAAAGCATTATATTATAAAAGTAATTATTTGATTTAAAATAAGCTTCTTCTAGAGGAAAGAGAAGAAATATCGAACAATTCCGATAAAATCTGTCAGAATATCGGTGAAACGATTTTTATAAATATCCATACTAAAAACTTTTTTTAAAAGAAACAAATTATAATTTAAAATCTTCGATTATTTTTTAAAAATATTTCTATTTAACTTCATTAGTTCAAACCTCCAAAGAAATCATTGATTGAAATTGTTTTATTACAAAATTAACCAGAGTATTAAATTTACATTTCATGTGTCTATTACATATAGGTATAAACAAATTAAAACAGTTTTAATTTTTAGGTATAGGTATCAGTTACTGAAAGATTTTATTTGTATAGAACATGAAACGTTTACATTTTAGTATTTAAGTATTTAATTTTATAACTATATTATTATATTAAGACATTTTTGACCATTTTTACTCGCTAATTAATTTTATGTGTCACTTAAATTGTAGAAATGACTTAGAAGTTATAAATATACTTTAATAAGCAACTAGTATAAATTCATTGTTTGATAAAAATCATTGTCTAATAGTTAGATAACTGGCTTAATAATATTTCTTTTTGTTATGTGTAACGCATCTAAATACCATAAAATATTATATATTGTTGTTTGATCTTGTATTTAAAAATTTTTAAGTCTTTCGTCAATATAATATAAATAATGTACAAAACAGAATGTTATTTTCTAGAACATCTAAAGGAAAGTATGAAGTTCAAATTATAAACTAAAAATATATATTAATAAATAATAATAATAGTAATAGTAATAGTAATAATATTACGCTTAGAGCTACCTATACAGCAAAAATAAAGTTAAAAACAGGCGGATCGAGCATTAAACTAATTAATATACTTTTTTTGTGTATTTAATGGATTAATTCTCAAAAGTTTAAAATCAACCAGAACCAGAATAATAGTAACAAAAAAATCCAATTAATTTTCTAAATTATTTACTCGTTTTAAACATAACAGTTAAATCGTTTTAAATCGTTTAATCATGGTAGTGATGGGTTATTCCCGGGAACAAGCTGGAATTCACTAGAATCACAAAGAAATTGTGGAAAAGAAATATAGTATATGCATTAAAAGGAGAAATGGTGGTGTATTTCATTTCAACATTCAAGTTTTACTAAATTTAAATCCATAAAAAGCATGTATTCTGCTTAAAAGTATAAAAAAAATACATTTTTACTACATTTACAACATTTAAACCATTCAGTACCTGCACCGTCGGGTATAGTCAACTACATTTATTTAACCACTAGGTATAATATGCTATAGGAATATTTTGTTGGCTATGATATCGATAGCAACAGAAATAGTTGAAAATAATGCTGCAAATGATCAACAATATAATTCAACAGTCAAAATCAAAGGCCAAGTTTAACACAATGTGGGCTCATTGAGTGCAAACCTAACAGATGCCAAACGAACCACACACATTTTTACAAATTTACTTTATAGGCGGCGAGGACTAGGAAAAAAATGAATATTTGGTTATTTTGTTATTTTTATAGGCCGTCATCGTTCACAGTGCTCTATTTCTCTTTCAATCATATGCCAGTTACCACATCCCCACGCACTCACAATAATTTTATATTTTTAAGTTATTTTACAAAAATATTCATATGAAATAATTTATATGACAAACAACGTTTACCGCAGGTAAATTGCCTACCTGATAATACACTGCTCGCATTATCACAATCAAGTCTCTTATATAGAGATGGCATTTTTAACGGGCAAAGTAGTGCACGGGATCAGCTAGTAATATTATATAAAATAATAAAATACCTAAATATTATGTAAGAAATACATAAATCAAGAGATGTCTATGATAATAAGCAAAATAAATAACTGAAAAAGTTCGTAGTTTTTAATATTCCCAGAGCAACGTGGAAATTAATAACAAAAACAAAACAAAATACTGTGCGTACCTATAGAAAACAACGATGAGGACTGACGACGAAATAAAAATAAAATATGCAACAGACTGAAATTAACAAATTTGCTACCACTTTGTAGGGTATAAATAGCTTTATTGAATAACATCTAAGTTTAGGTATTGAAACGTTTGTAGTAGGTAAATATAATATGTATTAAATACACGTGAGAGGGTGAAAAGATTTAATTTGATATCGTCGCCCGTTATTGTATTAAAGACATCACTATAGTTATTTTTAATATTGTTGCTATCTTAAGAATAATAATATACCTAAATACCTAATAATATTTAAATTCCATTCATACCATCATCCAATTCAATGTCTTACTGTTTTTTTTAAAACAATTTTTTGTACATGTTCTACATCTGCAAGATAATATCGTTTCTGTATCATGTGTGTATGTAAATACTACAAAATAGAGTGCGTATTAGTTGTGCTCAAACGGTATAGTATATTATATAGGTACTATTTATAAAATAATTATATGCCACAAATGTTTAATATAATGCGAATAGTGCACAATGTAATATTGTGTATGCGCTAGCTAATACTTACCTTCGCATCATACTGTATACATTTGTTTTTCGATCTTATATAATTTTTCATTATATAAGAAATTTGAAATACATAGTATTATACGGTTTAAATACAGTAAAAATTGAGTCGTAGTAATAATTTCTTTAGAGCAGTTCGGCCTCGAAAAATTCACCACCGAATCACTCTGTTGTCATAATACTTCTAACAAGGTCTGACTTCTGATCTAGCGCCGACACTATACCATATAAATATATAATTAATGTTAAATTTAGTATCAGTTAAATCAGTCGCACTGCTTCAGCCTGTATCATACTTTCGTTGGAGCCCTAAATTTATTATTGAAATTGGAAGGACAATTTTAGACCTTAAATAATTAATGCTATTGCTTTTTATTTAACCATAAGATCATATGAAATTCAAACATATTTGTTTCATTAATAGGTACTTATCTACTTTCGTAACCTTTGGCTCGTTTTTTTTTTAACGTACGATAATCCGAACGACTTGCATTAATTTTTTTTTTTAATTCATCACTAATGTATTTTTTTTGGGCCTGAAATGTATAATAGTACTCGTAGATGCCTGAATTGTGTACGTCAAAATACGAGATGGCTCTAAAAATCTTTCTCTCTTTTCCCTGATAGCCATATAATCATCCTAGCTTCCTTAACAGGGTCCCACTCGACTCCCCGTTATACTTCACACTTCTTTTAAGCATTCCACAAAGTCTATTCTAATGCACATAATTTCATTTCTTAACTTTAATACAACTAATCGGGTAATGATCGACTGAAAAGGGTCTTAGATCACAGCTTCAATGGTTGTTATTAAACTTGAAGCCTTGATTGATCGAAGTGGGTCCTCGAATAGTCAAAAAAACACTGCAACTGGTTAAATATCGATTTTTGTATGGTGTGGATTTTTAATCGCAGAATCACATAAAGCTTATTTTTCTATGAAAACTATTATTTAAAAAGTCATTGGAAAAAATATTCATAATAATAACAAAGTATGGCATACCGCGTTCAGAAATGACAGTATAATAAATTATTATTGCACAAATATGAACGGACTTGTTCCTTAAATATCACGAATCACGACCTACCTACTGCCCTACTGGGTAGGTACATAATATTCGTTACAATTATCTGTTTACGTTTTTACGACATTATTAATTCAACATATTATTGGCATGACCTTCATTCGATTACTGTTATTACTTAATACAATATCTGTATTAGAAACTAAAAACAATATAGGTATAATCCCATTAGAATACAATTTACCATTAATTTTGTTCTCGTTGTATATTTTGCGATTCTACTACTCGTTTTTACTTACATTTATATATAATAACAAGCTGTGATTGTAGATTTAATTACAAAACAATAAATTTCCTATTTTGATAAATAACATATTAAAGTAATCATATTATTATGAGATAATTTCGTTTATTATTGTATTATGGCCCTCCTATTTATACGAGTATAGGAGGTGTGTGTTATTCAAATGTTATTCGATGTTTCTTAAATAATCGTATTTTTTGTTTTTTCTTTAAATTTGTTATATTATATAATGATATAATGATTTATTGGGACCATTAAAATCGTTATCGTTAACTTTTTGAAATTTTAATATAATTATATTTACTCAAATTTTATTACGAAAAAATATAACATTTATTTTCTGATAATTATACAAACAACTGTTTTCACATAAGCTATATAAATATAAAATATGTGTATGGATAACATTGAATATTTAATGTATTAATTATCGGTGTTATGAATACTATTATCTAGATAGATTAGTAGCAAACCGTGAATATTTCCAGAAAGAAATATTACTATTTTTGGTGTATCAATTACAGCGTAGTGCTTCATTCAAAAATATAATCATTAAATAATTTAACTTTTATAAACTATAAGACACAATTGACCTTTAAATTATGACATGTTTCATGTTTATTTTCTTAGACTTTAAAAATTGACAATATAATACATATACGAGTCATCTTTTATAATGAATACAACGCAATCACAAATATTTGAATATAATTAATTCATAACTTAATCACAAAAAATATATAGGTACCTGAGGAATTTTGAAATTGTATAGTACCATAAAACATTTTATACTTTTACAAATCTAAATACTTAACCAATCCAAGTGTTTATTAAAACCTAACTGAAGCAATCAATATAAATAGTTTAGTAATATTTTTAAACAAATTAAATATTGAAGTACATGATTTTAACTGTAACTGAATTAATAAAGGATCAGTTATCACATATTTATTTGAACCCTTTGTCTAAACGAAAGATATATTTTACCTCAAACGCGCATTACTCAAATATTCTATTTGTAGACAATATCAATGTATAAACACCTTGAAAACAACATTATTTCTTTGTTCTAAACTGTAGAAGTGTAGTGCCTTTATTGACGTACATGTCAATTTGACAACGCGATAAAGCTTACAACCAGTTGTTTAAACTTACGTCGTCTATCCATCTTATATTGTATTGGTCAAATATACTTTTTACTCTAAAAATATATTTTCATTTTATTTCTACTGTAAAAGCAGCAAATGCAATTAATCCATCCCACGTTTTATAAATGATTTTGAAGAAAAACAATATTATTTGCAAACAAATTTCAGATAGAGGAGTCTTAGAGTAGTGCCTATATTGTTTTACGCTAAATCATAATTGCAAAAATGTAAATTATGTGTATACATACGTATTACGCACTTCAGTCGGGATTATGGTTTAAGCCCAATGAGTCTAATCCACCGATAAGCTTTACGATTATATTATATATACAACGACATGTCTCGGAATTGTCCAAATTACTGCGCGGGACTCACTGGTTAGTCGCGTATTATCGTGCTTTCGACGACGGTCGTAGTAGTAATACAGTATTATGATGAAGTCAAAAGTCTTGTTATTGACTTTCGTCTACTTCCTGACGGCATTACGAAATGGCAAAGGCTTGGTGGAACTCACCGAAAACACAAATAACTCTAATGACGGTCTAAGCGACGAGTACCGCTTACCGGACACCACGGAACCGGTATCCTACGAGTTGCGGATAACGCCCGCCATCAGACAAAGCTCGTTCCAGGGTCAAGTCGACATCGTTGTGAACGCGAAACAGTACACGTCCGAGGTGATCCTAAACTCGAAGGATTTGATCGTTTCGTCCGTGTCCTGGTTTCAGGACTTGAAGACAAACCGGACCACGGCGATAAAAGAATACCTGTTCGAAGAGCGCAACGAACGGTTGATCATCAAACTCGAAAAATCGATTTTGCCGTCAAGGCTCTATAAGTTTAGTATCAAATTCAGTGGAATCGTAAGAGACGACTTTACCGGATTTCATAAATATTTCTACGACTCCGGAAATAGCTCGAGGTATTTATATGTGTGATTTAAAACAAAATACATGCACTGTATACATAAATACACCCAGGTTCGATGATTATTTTCGATCTCAAACATTTTATCATCGACATATTTTTCTAGTGTTCCCCTCTCAACCCAAGTCCCAAATATGAAAATGCTTTACTCATTCACGTCACAATAACGTAGTCTGAAAACAGTATGATTAAAATACACAATTTGATTAAAATTATGTTTCTGTAGGTGGATAGCTTTGACACAGTTCAAACCAATATACGCCAGGCGAGTATTTCCATGTTACGATGAACCGAAATTCAAGACTCCGTACGCGATATCGATCTCCAGACAAAGTCATAATTCAGCCTTGTCTAATATGCCACTTAAACGCAGTGAATTCGAGTAAGTTTGACATTTCGCTTGGACACTCGTTGTATACTAATATTTCGTTACGTTAAAACATATTTACTATAACTTATTATGAAATGATGGGCAACATAACATAAAGACAAAGTGTGTTTCATTTTTATTTTGGTAGTCAGGAAAGCAATCGGATGTGGGATCACTTTGAAACTACAAAGCCAATACCTACGTATTTGGTAGCTTTTATGGTGTCGGATTTCGACAAAAACTCTGTAAACGGTGATAACATCGCCATGCATACGCGCAAAGAGTACATTGAATACACGACGTACATGATGGGGAAAGCACCAAACTTACTCAAAGGTGTAGAAGACTTTACTCAAATATCCTATATGTTACCGAAGTTGGATTTGGTCGGAGTTCCTCTGTTGAACGCCTACCGTATGGAGAATTGGGGACTAAATTCTTACGAGTAAGTATGAAAAATCTAAAAATAAAAATAAAAATACTGTTTACCTATAAGTACTGTATAATATTACAAACATAATATTATTAATGGTATTACGTAGTACAATAATATGATAAATATAATATTATTTTACTTAACGCGATTCATTTCATTATTTTTACATAAATAGTATGTGATAAAAATTATTATTATGAGTTTTATATGACAAGATCGTGTCATGTACTTACTCAAGTTTCATTTAAAGAGAAAAACAAACTACGTTGTTATTTTGGTTTAGAGAGTTTTACGTAACTTTGTCGGACGACTCAGAAACGGAAGACAAACTACAGGGGTCCATGACCATATTACACGAGATCCTTCACCAGTGGTTCGGCAACATGGTGACAGCTCCTTGGTGGGACAACGAGTGGTTAAATGAGGGCATGTGCAATTACTTGAACTATTACATAACGAATATTGTAAGTCCAAGCTTCGGAGCTTGAATCCTAAATACGACCGTTCTTAAAACTCTGCATTACATACGAGTGATTGTTGCAGATCGAACCTGAATGGAACACGGAGGAATCTTTCGTAGAGAACGTGCACCAGTATGCACTGTCCTGGGACGAGTATGACGATACTCACCCTTTGACGTTTGCAGTGTCGACCTCCGATGACATCGTGAATGCCTTCGACCCAATTACATCCGACAAGAGCGCGGCGCTGTTTCGGACGTTGGAATGCGTGGTGGGTGAGGATTACTTCAGGATTTCGGTGAACAAATTTCTCAATGATTTTGCGTGAGTATGCAAAAAATAAATATCGTTTTAGAATTATTAATTTTATCTAATCCGTTCTTATTGAAAGCTGAATTGAATGTATTGAATGTATGTAATTATTATTTTATCTGATGAACTCAAATCTATGATTTGACAACAAATAAAATTTGAATTACTTACAATGAATGCAGATGATACGGGAATCGAAAATAATGGCAGTCGCCATTAGATTATAATCGCTATTAGTTATAGGTATCGAAAACCGTTTCCGATTTGATTAGATATATATACTGTGCTTTATTGCTTAAGATACATGGTAGCGGGACCGGGAGACTTGTGGCAGACGTTCGATCACGTGCTATATGACTACGACTATGTTATCGGCGAAGATATCACGATCAATAAGTATATGGATTCGTGGACGAAACAACCTGGGTATCCTCTGATAACAGTGACGTCGACAAAAGATGGGGTTTTCAGCGTATCGCAGGTAATGAAATAAAAATAATTTAAAAATTGAATTCACTGTATATTTTTATTGCATGCCCCCTCGGTGGTACTTCAATGTAAATAACTGATCTATGTTTACCTACTATATAATTTAATATCCTAATGACGATTCCTGCAGAAACGATTTTCTTTGACGTATCCGCCTCAAACGACCGACGACATAAAATGGCTTGTAGGCTTAACGTACACTACTGAGGATGAATTGGACTTTGAAGACCTCACGCCGAGCGTTTGGCTGAAGCCCACCGACGAGAATACAATAATTTCAGTTCCCGAAAATTCGGGATGGATAATCATTAACATACAATCGTCCGGTAAGCATATAACAATATGCAACTGCGTAACCGTACCAATGCCTAATATTACATAATGTGATACAATATTATACCGGTGATATATTATACTTCCGACGATTAGGGTTCTACCGAGTGCATTACGACGAAAAAAATTGGAAACTCTTGTTGATCCAGTTGATAACAAACCCCAACCGGATACACGAACTCAACAGAGCTCAAATCATAGACGACGCGTTTCACCTGTGTCGAGCTGCACTGGTGCCGTACGATTATTACACTTCGCTGCTCGAGTACCTGTTGATGGAAGACCACGTGACCCCCTGGAACACGGCGGTGACAGGATTGTCGACGACCATGGACGCGATCCGACGATATCCCACTGAATACTCAATGTTCAAAGTACTCACTAGTCTATTATTATAATATGACTATTTTGTCTTCCACACAATAGTCAATAACAATGAATAAATATTATGTACTTCAGAATAGTGCTAATATTTAAAACGTTGATTTTTCACAGGAATACGGGAAGGGCCTGGCGGATATTTTGTACGACAAATTATCAAAAAATCAGATCAACAACAATTCGACGAAAATTGGTTGGAGCAAACTATTGACGTGGACATGTAACATGGGCAGCTCGAGTTGCTCAAAATATGCGTCAGCGCACTTTGACGAGTGGATGAACGGACAAGAGTGAGTAAAAATATTTAAATCAACGGGAGAAAAAATTGTGAAAAGTTGAGTTTTGATAGAAGTCCCACGCACTCCATCGGGATTTATCACTCGCGATATCAGGACATAAAAACAACGTGAAAAACCAATTTGATAAAAATTATATACATAAATAAAAATAAAAAAAAACAGCGAAGCCAGTCAAATGGATCATACTGTACACACACACACACACACACACAGATATATATGGACAAGTTGACAACGCCAATACACCTTTGTATCCGCCTTAGTATAATATATAGTGAGTTATTGTTGTCTATACCATGTGCGAAGCATGGATATTATGTTACGTACCTACGGTGTATTTTACACATTTGTCGAGAAAAAAACCTTATTTACTGTACTGTATACACTTTGAAAGCGTAGGATAAAGCATTGTACACGCTACAGTGATTGTGCACATCGATAATACGAGGTGCATTAATATTTTTGAATTTTATACAGTTTTGAATTGTTATTATTGTATAATAAATCAATAATTACTCGGAGGTGCTCACAATACAGTGGCGGTAGACCGTTCGAATCCCAGATTCAAACTGTGAAAGCAGTGATGTATCGGATATTTTTCTTAGCGTTATATTATTGAGCATATGTACAACGAGTGGGACGGTTTTTAAAAATATTAAGGAATTTATATGAATGCATATTACATTCTCGGCGATACGATTGGTCGAGTGGTGTTGTTGTTATAGCTTTGACATTTTGTAATCCGATAACGGCCAATGTGTAATATAAAATAGGTATAATGTATAATATGGTACGGTGTAATATAAAATAGGTATAATGTATAATATGGTACGGTGTAATATAAAATAGGTATAATGTATAATATGGTACATGTACATACGCGTAAGTACGTTTAATAATATTATTCTCGTCAGCCTAAACCTCAACGAGTTTACGAGTTTATAACTTATCTCTCAAGCGAATATAATAGTTCACACACCTTAACGTGTAAACTTGTTCAAATGTTTATCGTGTTCGGTAATTCTGTAATGAAACTATAAGCATTAGCCTGATAAGAAGACTTGTTACACAAGCCTTATTGAGCACACGGAGACGGAAAAAAGTCTGAGCATTATCCGCTCCAGCTCGTAAACACCGCCGTGATTTGGTGTCCAACTTTTTTTCAGTTATTAGTAAAATTAAGAAATATTTACTTCTTGTCCCCTATAAAAATGCACGGGGCTTCACACTTTAGCAACAAGTTGTCGATCTTTTTTTTCAAGATAACTATAATTTTCGTCCTGACCTCAATTAATATTTGTCTCCTTATGTCCAAAAACAATGCTACGTCCCGAAACGTTTGCGCTTTATTAACGAGTTATTTTCAGGATACCGTCGGAAATGGAAGAAGCTGCGCTGTGCGTGGGCATGAAAAAAGGCAACTTTGCAGCATTGACGAAAATTCACCAACTTTACAAAACGACGAGATCACCGACGCAGAAAAAAAAAATTCTCAGAGCCTTGGCCTGCGCTGAAAATGTCCAAAAGCTGTTGAGGTAATACTAATTAACTATTATTATATATTATTACAATATTGTAACGGTATTATGTGAGGCGGCAACTGCTATTTAATAAGGGGACACATTTTTCAATATTTACACAATATGGTAGCATAAATTATTTTAAGTAAAGTCGTTTAGTAGACTTCATTTTAAGAGTTATAAATATAACGATATTTAAATAATTGTTATACTAAATAAATTGAACAATTCAAATTCTCATCTCAATATTTTACAAATTTCTAAAATCTGAACTTCAATAACTGCCTACGACTGATAAAAAAATACAGAAGTCAGATACACTGTAAAATATTAAACAGCTCTCTCTAACTACAACAAAAGAGGAACTCTTTTTTGAATATAACTCGATTTTCGAGATGTCTTAGTAAATGCAGTAATAATAAATTTTAATTTTAATAATATGATAACATGTTGGTTGTGTAAATTAATTGTGTGCCTGTACAATTTATGGACATTTTAAGTCACTTGGGTCTGATGCAATTAAACATTGCGAACCCCGGAAACTTACAAAGCTTCAAAACAATGTGCGAGAACGTCGTGACCACACCTTCAGGCGTGAAAGCCCTTGTCGGTTTCCTGTCAAGCAAACTGGACAAGATTCAATCGTCACCGATCGGCGATGACCTGCTCAAGTACACAGCTGTCGTGTACTCAGCGTTAGCACCCAAAGTGGCGACGGACGACGAAATCACTGTTGTAAATATTATACTCTGTTTATTATGATATTTTCGTCTTTTATTCGTAATATTATATTGTTGTGCGTTTTTTATGATGATTATTGATTTTATGACGCAGATGGACAAGGTAAGGCGATCTGTCAAATCAGCTGACCTGAAAGCCGTGCTGGACGAAATTTATCAGAAAATCGAATCAAACTTGTCGTGGATGGAAAGAGATCATAAAAAAATCATGAAAGCGATCATTAAAATGTGAAAAAAAATTGTATTTTGGTTGCACCTACGTATTGTACTATTCTAATTGTGTGTAGGTAACAAATCTGTTACTATTATATTTTTGTACAAAAATAAACTTTTTTGACTTATATCGCTATGCTGTAGCTGTTAACTAGTTTGTATGGATTATCAATATATATTATAATATTATTAAATGTTGCGTATGCGCTTGTATGCCATTGAAATAAAATCTATCATTTTAGACTCAAACCATTTTCAACGATGAGTATACATAATAAAATCATTTAATTAGTTTTATTGCAGGCTATCGTAACACAAATTTAGATAAGACAAAAATGCTAATAAATTATACAATTTTTTTATTAAACAACCTAAAACGTATATATAAATCATATTTTCGAATTCCTAAGGTAATAATTCCTCAACATTAATAATTGTGAGTTATCTGAAGTTCACACAATTTGAATAAACAAACAACAATAAAATTAAACTAAATTCATTCAAACATTGAGAATTGCATATAGATCAAATAAATAAATAATACATACCCCAATAAATCACACACATAGTTAGCAATAAACTATTAACAGATAAAACTATTTGAGTAGTAACTAGGATCCCAAGATCCTAATATTGAGTACTATAATTTCGTTGAAAAATGTAAGTGCTACAGTATTGCATACTTACTCGTGTGTGGAAGTAGTTATAATAACTAATAAATTTTTTCTTTAACATAAGTGCATATGATGCACTTTGAAGTTTTAACTAATAAAATATAATTATATGGAGCCATAACTGCCTAAACGTGTAATGTACGCTGAAGTCTCGTTGGTACGCTATATTATATTATATTATGGCAAGTGAAGAGTTGATCATATAAAATGAGGCTTATCGTCAAAAAAAAATAAAAATTAAAGGCAATAAATGCTTTACCGAAGTGATAAAGTCGATGGATTATACGTGAAATAAAACAACAAAAAAAGCATAATGTATGGAAACATCGCTCACGTTGGGTTAAGAGAAACAACTACTATAATCTATAGAACTTTTTCGACTGTAATTAAAATTCTTTTTTTATATTTTTATCTTATCGTTGTCGATGCAAATGTATTTAGTAATAATAGTATAGGTATTATATTGTTTGTACAACGATCATTGCCAACGCGTCGAATAAGACAAATGGAAAAAAAAACAAGAATGTTACAAGTGTTTTTTTTTTTTAATACGTCGACAACTGCGTGGCACCTACTTATTTACTTACATATACACAACAGGCATTAGTATTTAGTATGATATTCGTTTCGGCGGATCTCGACACCAATAAAACACGGCACACATCAGACGTCTTAAATGTTGGGCACAGGACTAAAAGTGCACTGATCACGATATAAAATAATAATAATAATAATATGACGATAGTATAATATAGGTAGGTTATACACATGGCACGGCGTCATATCCATTCGTACAGACACATACACATGCATACACACATATATATATTTTATCCTATAAAAGCGTGCGCAGCACCTTCCCCACAAATACCTATAAAATATTATTATACATTTTTTCCTTTCTTTATTTTTTTCTATTTTTTTTTTTTTTTATTCCCTACACGTCATTAATCATTATTCTTCTCGTTAAAACTTCTGTCAGTCCTCTGCTCCTCCTCTCCGGAGCTCCCCCCCCCCGCCGTTCCCAATCAACATCCTTGATTCCCTGAGTATTCTATAATATTATCTATTCCGTAACAACGTTTTGATTTTTTCGTTTTCATACAACGTACACGGCGACCGACGACGAAGATGTCTGTCCGATGTTGTATACGTAGACATAGGTATAGTACCTATGTAGAACGTATTAGGTTGTGTTCGACGCACCTTCACCTACCTCTTTATGTATTATTATTATGCTATTGTATAATAATATTATTGTTGATGGCCGAATATTATCGGGTCCGGCTTACGTGTGAGGACCAATCCCGTCTGAAAATCTCAGACACAACGGTCACCGTATTATTATTACTTTATTGCAATATTGTGTAAAAATATATTTTATTGTCATTTGTCATATTTTTTCCACGTCCATTATTCGAATTCCTAAATTTCCTTATTAATCACTGTGCCTAAATATTATGATTTTACTACAAATGTATGCACGTATGTGCTTAGCCTATATACTTTCTACTAGGTATAAGGTGTTTAATATATTATATTATATTAAATTGTCATCGCGTATGCTGTGGCGCTGCATAGAACAAAATATGGGTGCTGTGTCCCAGGGCTGCAGAACACTATAACAGTCCGCGGGACTCTTAGCCAATTCTGAAACGACTTCTTTAAAATAATTGAAAATATTGATGCATCTATAAGTAAATACTACAAATCATACTTTTTGAGTTCAGTCACAATCAGAATAAGTAATAATATGTATCAGTATTATTAAATAATTACTCACTGCGGGTATGCAATACGTTTGGATGCAAAAACCTACTCCAAATAGAACACTTTTGGACGTAACTTCATACAACGTTTGGGCGTCATATTTCTCTTTTTAATAGTGTTTCGGTACATACTATAATATTTATTTTCATATATTATTTGCACAATTTACAAATTCCAAGTCCATTAGAGTTACCTAGAAGTCACCACAAAGTGGTTAAAATCAATAGTTTTCCAACAATTTATTTTAAAGATTAATTTTTTAAATTTAAAATTCTTGATTTTATTTTGTTTGTATTTTTAAACAGTTTTCATCCATTTTACTTATTTGTGTGTAATTAATTTTTTTTGCCACAAAATGTTGTTCTAATTTGTATTTATTTTATATTTTATTAATAAATTTTTTTCCTCCAAACGGGGTCCTAGTATTTGTAAATTGTCGTATTTCATTATTTACATGTATTGTTCCATAGTAGGTATTCACATTTGAAAAAATAATGTTACGTGTATATGTTTTGTATTTTTATAAAAAAATAATATTTGTTTGCGAACAAGCCGCATTATTTTTTAATTATTTTTCCCTGTCAACGATCCCACACCCACACCGCATACACACTCGAGCACACACACACACCAAATACACTTGCACACACACATATTTGTATTTCATATGAAATTAAGCGGTGTCCAAGGTAAGTATGCGGCTCATCCAATATTCGTAAAAGAGCCTAGTTTATTAATGCCCCATATCCTTTTCTTATCTAACTAAGCCACTCGTGAGTGAATAACTCGTGTGCGTAATATTGTGTGGTCAAAACGATACAATATTATAATTCCTGCGCAACTCAATGTATAGATGTATAAATTACAGAAGCGATAATTATTATTATTCTCCTGGTCGATTTGAATTAAATAAAGCATAGTAGTTGTTTATTGTGACGATGCGTCATTCGTGTGGATGTATCGAGTAAGCGAGATCACGTCGTAAAAAAAAGTTAATTTTTTTCCGCACTCAGATTCATATGATTCAGTATTATACATATATACGACTATAATGACCAGTGTACTATTCATAATTTAATCATTTATATTTTTCTACTTGACATTATCGCTTGTCGTGTTTCGTTGATTTGAATTGGTAGTCGTACATAGTTGAAACTATAATATACAATTAATCTATTAAATACAAATTTACACTGCGGCCACTTCCTCTGTCTTAAAATAGTAATAGGTACATTATTTTGCTATTTATGTGAAAAATTAGCATTCAATAATCTAGACTTGGGTCACGTATACGTTTAATATCTGTTCGGTCTACCCATTCAAAACATATTATATATAGGTACATCAAAAATAAACATCAACAATTAAGGTAACAATTAATATTGAATCACCACGAATAAATTAACAAATTAAAATTGATAGCTAAAATTGATAATTAAATTATTTAAGTGTGGTCGATCAAAAATAATGTTATAACTCATAGCTGAAAATATATATTACTGCCTAGTGTCTATACTTAAATGACAAAAAATAACTGATAACTGTCTTAAAAATAAGTGGCACAACTACACGAGTATTCATGATAATAATATTTTTTTTTTCTAAGTTTATCGTATAATTATATACTACTGATTACTGAATATTTCATTTATAACTTAGGTTAGTACTAAGTATACCTAAGCTATAGTTCTATAGCTATAAAACTATGATTTATAAACACTCATAAAATTCTAATAATATAATATAGATCTTAGTGATCCTACTTCACGTAAATACAGCGGAATACAATATGAGAAACAGAGAAGTGCCTTCTTTATAATATGATAATATCTGCCATAAAAATGTATTATTATTTAATTGTAAGCCTCAGGATTAATATTATATTTTTTTTTCTTCAAAAAAGCTAGACATTTTACGACATTCATTCCTTCGAAATAACAACAGGTAGGTGTACATTATTATGATTTATGAATATCAACAAAGAAACAAATTAATATTGCTTTTTATTTCATAATTTCGAGAGGATGTATTATTCGGATATAGTAGTCTGGAAGTCTCAACAAAAAAATGTTGTGGTTTTAATTTTTTTTAATTTTTAAAGAATGTACTTCTCATTCGATTTGAGAGATATGGTTGAACGAACGCCAAAGCAATTTACTTAAATGACTATTGGTATTGTCAATATTATAATAATTTTAATGGTTTGACCAGAGGTCCAGAGCTATACGCACTCAGATATCAAACATCTGAACAGATAAATCGGTATTATACTGGACGCGAGGCGGCGTCGCTCGAGAAATGGGTCTAATGATATTATATTATTATTCCATCTTATTACACGAAGGCTACAATTGACCACACGTGTAAATAATTCCCGCAGGATATGATCTCATCAAACGTAATAATATTTTACTTTCACCGTTTAAACACACATATAGGCGTTGACATTTATCAAACTCACAAAAAACACACACACACACACACACAAATGAGCGTTGCAGACGCTTGATGTTAGTACACATTTTTTATTTATTTTTTAACGACTTGAATTACGAGTGTTAGAAAATATATTGTGTTTAACGTTATCATCCGTTTTCAAATTGCCGGTTTCCTGTGAAAAAAAATAAATGTAAAATAATACATAATAATATTATTCGTTTGGACGGAATGCCGCCCCAGCAGATTGCCGTACATCGCGACTAACACGATTGCAGTAGTATTATACAGGGTGCGCGCGCAAAGGTACGTGTCTTAGATTTCAAATTTAATAACATGTGTATGTAATAATTATTCGTCGACCTATTT